GGATGAGTGGAGCAGTTGATTGTGATGGTATGTGGGTGTTTTAAAACACATACCTTTTAATGTTTCATATAGAGTTTACCATGTTTTGTAGTAGATAGATTGACATTAGTATTCCGAACCCATTAGAGGCATACATTTTTGAATGTTGTGTTTTGAGGTGTGTTAGGAACTTGAGAGACAGATTTATGTTTAGAGATAGAGAGAGAGAGAGAGAGACAGGATAACATATCCTTTTTTTGTGAAAACAATTCCAGGCCGATTCCAACTAGAAAAGGAAATTATGACCCAAGATAAACCAAANCTAAATGAGATAGTTAGNCTAATGTTCATGTGGGAGAGCGTGTAGTGTGAATTAAAAACAAAATCTAAAATCTAAAATCGCTTGAAAAAGTGAACAGCCAGCCAACTTTGACTACATACATCTTTTGACATTCTGCTTAAAATTTTATCAGTTGACCACCTTTTGATACCTCTTACAGGAACACAAATCAATAGGCTCAAAATTGACCCTTTAACTAGACTTCAAAAATGCTGATACATGAAAAGATTCAATAATTGCAGTTTCAGTAATGTCTCAAACTTTTGGTTAGAAATTCAAAAAGGATATTTTTCGTCACCGTTTTATAAAGCAAATGACAGTTTATGTTCACCTGAAACCTTTTTTTCAGTCAATGGAAAACGATAACAGCAAGAAAAGTGACAATGTCCAACAGCAAGAAAAAATGCAGAATCTGAGAAATCAAGTGGATTCGGTTAAGGCGGTGAGTTTACAGCCAACTGCGGTCTTGGCCGCCATGGGTAATCCAAAAGCAGCGGATTTCAATTTGACAGCTTTGGCTCTTTGGTGTTTCTAATGGTTGCAAGAAGATTCAAGAAAATCAAAAATTCACAAATATCTGAAAAAGTGAAATTGAGAAAAGATTTTGAAATTACTTGCCACCAATCGCTTCTGGATTTCTGAAATATTGAAAACGAACTGAAACTGAAAATTTCTGAAAAACAAGAATCGAACTTTTCATTTTTCAGGTAATGGTGGACAACGTCGAGAGAATTCTGGAGCGTGGCGAGCGATTAGACAACATCGAACGACGAACGGAGCAGTTGAATGCGACGGTATGTGGGATTTTTAGAAAACATACCTTTTAATGTTTCATATAAGTTTACCATTTTTTGTAGTCATAATTGACATTAGTCTTCCAAACCCATAAGAGCATACATTTTTGAAAAAAGCGTTTAAAAAATTGTAAAAAAATTGAGAGACAATTTACTGTTTCATGATCTAGGTAAAGTTCAAGTTGCTGGATGGTGATTTCAGAGGCAACTCCTTAAACCCAGTGCAAGCTTTCTGCTTTAACCCAACTTATCTCGGCTCCTGTGAGAGAAATCAAAAAGTTGGCAACTGATAAAATGTTACTGATACTATGATAAACATTTTATAAGGTGACTACTTTTTGATATCTTTCACAGAAAACGAAATGAATTTAATGGAAGCTCTTACGATCACTGTTTCATATTTCATATAAATTTAGAGTTTTGCTAAAGTAAGTAACTTGAAACTTCACTGTTTTTGTAGGCTTGAAAAGTTAGGAAAATCCCAGGCGGTTGGTCAAACCAAAAACTCTCGATGGCCAACAGTGTATACCACTAGATCAACTGTGCGCATTTAAAAACAGGGAGAGAGTGCAATTATAATACAAGGCATCCCCAAAAATTGAGATCTGCAATGTTAAAACAGGGAATCGAAGCCGATTTTCAATTATTTCAATAAATTTTGAAAATTCCAGAGTGCAAACTTCAAATTCACCGCTCGTAAAGTCCAACGAAAGTTCTGTATGCTGAATGCAAAATGGACCATCATTCTGGCAATCGTCATCCTCATCGTCTTCACCGTTCTCCTTCTCCTGATTCTTCATTGGACTGGAGTTATTGGAAAACGAAATAATGATTAATGATGTTTTTATGGCTTTTTGAAAACTGTATTCTTTTTCTTCTCATTGGTTTGTGTCATTTATTTTGGAATGCAAATGAAGATATACCTATGTTACTTTTTCAAAAGTTTGCAAAAAAAAGGATTGACGAGAAAGATGTATGGTGATAACTTATAGGGTATTTGAAACTGAAAAAAAGTGTCAAAAATGTGAATACGGAGTTTTTGAAAAGAAGGGGGCTTTGAGGCTTCCAATTTGAGAGTCTTTAAGAGTCTAAACGGAGAAGTGACAACTCGAATATTTGAAATCTAGGAAATCAGAATTTGAAAAGTACCTGGAACAGTAAAACTTGAGAAAAAGATTTGGAAGTACTTCAAAAATCGTTTTTCAAGTAATGGTGGACAACGTCGAGAGAAGTCTGGAGCGTGGCGAGCGATTAGATAACATCGAACGATGAACGGAGAAGTTGAATGCCACGGCTTATGAAATTTTTAGAAAAAAACAAGTTATAGAAAAAAACAAATTATAAATATAAAAACAAATTATAAATATATAGAGATCCCCGAAAAACGCCGTTGAAAATGAAAAAAATTCAAAAAAGGTGCCGCCGGGGGACGAGAATTTGAATTTCCGCGCAGTGAGAAACCTAGGCCACGGCGCCTGACAGCATTATTTTCAAGTGCCCGACAGTGTTTTTTAATGTTTTTTACCTGTCGGAGATAAAAGCGAAAAAAATCCGGAAAAATTGTCCGGTAAGAAAGTCGCGCCGCACGCGTGGCCTAGGGGTCTCACTGAAAATCCTCGTCCCTCAGCGGCACCTTTTTTTGAATTTTTTTTTCCTTTTCAACGGCGTTTTTGGGGATTTCGGATTTTTTTCGAATTTTTTCGTAATAATATTCTGAAAATAGATAAATTTAAACAAATTTTAATGCAATAAAATTTTTTGGTCGGAGTCCCCCTTTAATGAGTATGCACAACTGCTTTTGTCCACGATTACAAATAATTTTGTTAAAAAGCTACAATCCGACCAGAACAACTTATGCGCTCCATTGATTGTCTTTTTCCGAAGTTACAGTACACTTTGATTCAGTTTCGTTTCATTGCAAGCTTGGGTAATCGGCCAAAGACAACAAAAAATGCCCGTCATTGATTCACAGTTTGCTCCAAATCGTTTGACCCTTATCTGAAACAGGAAGAATGATATCAATAACTCTCAGTAACTTACTTGTATCCATAGAATCCGAAATGTCAAAAATACTCCAGCGTTTTTTGTTGGGAAAATTGAGAACCACCATTAACTAACTGTCTGTGTAGAGGCTCTTTAGCTGAATCATCGAAATTAACTATGAAGTTGTCGATTTATTCCAAGATCCAGGTCCGGCCCCAACCACTCTAGTTCCAGCTGCTCCAATTTCAGCTTCCGGACCATAACCTCCAGCCCCAATAGCTCCAGTTCCAGGACCTATGTCCGGTTCCCAGAGCTCCATCTCGTGCTCAAGCTGAAGCTGGAACTGACGATTCTCACTGTTTCTCTCTTCCTTTATATGCAAAAAATGGGAGATTCTTATCTTTTTGCTCTATTTCTTCACGTTTTGAAAAAAAGTTTTTTTCCGACACGTGAATTGTTTCTTCGAATATTTTTTGATTTTTAAAAATGAGACACTAATTTTTGTTCACGCGTGCCTCGTATTATAATTGCATTGGCTCCCTGCTTTCATATGTGCACAGTTGGTCTAGTGGTATACACTGTTGGTTATCATACCGAGAGTTTTTGGTTCGACTCCCCGCCTGGGATTTTCCTATTTTTCTGCTGTCAAAAATCGTTTTCAAAGCTCTTACAAACTTTTAATCAAGTAGTCCACTTTGAGACAAAATATCTCCGTTCCTGTAGAAAATATCAAAAAGTGATCAATTGACAAAATGTTGGTGATATTATGATAAACATTTTGTCAGTTGACCACTTTTTGTTATCTGTTACAGGAAATGAGATAACTGGGCTCAAAGTTGTCAATTTGAGGGGCATTCTATTAGAGTGTCTACATTGTATCTCAGCACAGAAAAATAAATATTGTCTTAAATTATTTTCCAGTTTCATATACATATCTTATTACTTTCATAAGTAAAAACGCATTTTTCTGCATGAATCATAGCTTGTCCGCAACAAACCCTAACAGCACACTCCTCGCCCTGTTCCTCGCTGCAAGAGACGGAGGGGAGGGGGGTGGCCGAGGTCCTGGCATTTCCTAGTCCCCGCGTTTCTGCCGCACTCTATGTCTCCGATAAACGCTTTGTTTGCGGCGGGAACACACAGTTTTCTCTCGTTATTTTTTGCTTAAAGTTGATTTTCAAACGAAAATCATGAATCAAAAATATTAATAACCAATTTTCGCTGATTTTCAGAACCAAAAAGTCGAGGGGATCGATTGAGAACACTCTGAAAAGGAAAACATGGAAGAAGTGAGTTTTTTTTTCGAAAAATGTGTGTTGAAAAAAAATTTATCTAAATTTGAACTTTTTTGTGACATGATTTTTTGAAAATAATCTAAATTTGGGTTTTTTTTCAAATATTAAGATTTTTCCCTCGAAATTTATAGTTTTTATTATTGTTCCAGAAACTCGTTGTTTAATTCCTACTAAAATGTGTAGTTATTAATAAAAAGCTAGATTAAAAAATTATAATTTAGGAAGAAGGACCGAACGATTTAATAAATTGATAGTTTAAAACCCATAATTAAGGAAATTCTGGTCAATGTGAACCAAATTCTTTAAAATCGTGTTTACAATCTCTGCTCTTCGTTCTTTGACAAGAATTATCTGAATTTCCAGAAGAGATATCAAAAATCTGTCAACTAATGAAATGTTTATTAAATTTTCATTAAAATTTTACATGTTGACAACTTTTTTATATCTCTTACACGAAACGAAATAACGTACGTCAATGTTAAAGGTCCACTTTTTCTAGCGAATTTATGATGTTAGTTTGTTGTATACAAAGGCAAAGGCGTATTTCATTATGACACAAAAATCATGAAACAATTAGTAAATTACTTGAAACAGAAACAACTAACAACTAAATTTTTCAGTTTCAAAAAGTTTCAAAGTTCGGTTTATTTTTCTCGTTTCAGTTTAATTATGGAAATGGCAACTTATTTTCAATTTTTTCGTCAACTTTGAGCTCAATTTTCTCGGATGCTAGGAAAGATATCAATAACATGTCGATTGATAAGATACTAGTAATATTATGATAAATAAATTGTCAGTGGACAACTTTTTGATGTCTTGCATAGGATCCGAGGTGAATCATACGAAACTTGACCGTTCAACTAGATTTTAGAAATGCTCGAACGAAGAAAATCAAAAAGCAGTTTCAACAATGCTTCAAATTTTTTGTGTATTTCACAGAAAAATTGTTAACTTTGGGGAATTTTCCATAAATTGTGTTCTTTTTCAGATCCTATTCGATGAACTAGTGATAAGTGCCACAAGAGCCATCGAGAGGAGCACCGACAGGAAAATGAGCACCATTGGTGAACAATTAGCGACGGCTCCGCGACGTTCGAAAGACGACGTTTCGAAAGTGTGACGTTTCGCAAGTGTGACGTTTCGAAAGTAACAGCCTTGCACTTTTATGCATGGAAGAAAAAGCAAAAACTTGTATTTGAGTATTTAAATGGTTTTTCCAACAGAGCTTTGTATATTTGAAGCTGTTTCACACATTTTTCGATTTGT